GTAGTAAAGTTTTCCTCAGGAGGGAAATCATTATATACTGCTAATTTTATTTCTGTAGCATAATAACAGTCATTTGATCTAACTGGTGGTAAGATAAGTAGTAAACTGAAATGTAATGAATCCCTATGCAGTGAGATTTCAACTCAATGTGGGTTTTCTCAAGTGTCTTTCTAAAAATAAGGCAAAGACAACATCCTCCAAATTGAAAGGTAAACGTATCAATTATGGAAGAAAAAAGAGTCCATTGAGCGTATGGATTATTAAGTATATGGATCCCCATTGCATCCCTAATCCCGGAGCTATGTTTAATAACAGCTTGTGTAAAAACCACTATTTTAATGCTCTGCTAATGTAATATGCCACTTATCATCTTCTGAAATTATTCAGTGACCTACTTTGTTAATCAAAACATTTACAGAGATCTTCCTTTATAGATCTCGATCACTGACTAAATGAGTATTTTGGTTGCATCAAGTTGTAAGATTATTTCTATTATAAAGGAAAACAATATTTTAAGATGAAGAAACAATAGTTTAACGTAAAAGGAATCAACATTTCATCCCTTGTTTAACCTTGGTTGTTTTAATTGCCATATACAGAAAAGAAAATTAAAGGATTAATGACAGAAAACAAAAAGTTAATTAAAATTTTAAAAATGCAGAGACACAGCTCACTGCACCAATATTGTTAGTGCAGCCCCACATAGAACAGTGTAAACCTCCAGGAGGGAAAAAGAAAGTAAATAAAATCTGTAGTTTATTCTTAACTAGAGATCTACATCAAATATACAGTCAGCAAAAAGGCACACTGCTACAGATACAGTAGTAGAGATGAGAAACAAGAAGAGGAAAATAACCCTCCAGCCATAAATCAGCCCTTTCCTTCCTCTATGCCCAGTACTCAGAGTAGCCTGGAGAGATAAAGCACCTAGCTTTGAGATTAAATAAAGATAATTGACACCGAAAAAGAAAAATGAAGTGGAGGCATTTTTGCCTTGCTTGGTCAAAGCAAAGGAAATCACCCTGCTCAAGCATCTCCTCCCAATGCAGCAAATTTAGGCATAAGCTCTAGGCTGCAAACTGAGCTTGGAAATGGTGCAGGGGAATGATGGAAGGAAGCGAGGATGAAGTTGCCAGCTCTGAGGCTGATGGTTCTACACAGAGCTGCAGAGAGAGAGGGTTAAAAGGATGCACCTCATACCTTTCTTTTTCGTTCCATACGTTCTCTGGGGATTTTCCGTTGTTTTTTTCTGTCTCTCTCAAGATTTTTTTCCTTTTCATCCAGATCAGCCTCTCGAACTTTTTTAATAGAAGCAGCAGCGTGAGCCATTTTGCAGAGGAAATCAGCAGAAGCAGTAGCAGAGGATCAGTTTCCACTCCCCAGCAATCCAGGTGATTTTAGAGCTGTATGGAGATGTGATTTTCCCCACCAGGGCAATGGCTGGCAGCCAGAACACTCACAAGATAATCCACTCTGCCCCCGAGCTAGGTCATAATCTTGCTCCAGCCTCTGCAGCACCCACAATTCACTACAAGGAACTAAGGTCCCAAACCGAGACCTCCAGCAGCACACACCTGCACACAGGCAGGCATAGGTGTGCACCCACACTCAGAAATGGTCCCGGGGGAAGGCGGAGCACTAGACTTCCAGCTCTTCAGCAGTTGGGTGGCTCCAAGTGCAGAGAAGCATCCTACTAGTTGAAAAAGCCATCCTTAGACACACATCACCAATTGGAACAGTCTTTGGGGACTCCTCCAGACAGTCTGTGTCTTCTGACTGGAGCCAGGAAGAGGCCACCTCTGTGAAACTGCTAGGGGGTGGGTAGTTTATTGCTGCTCCCAACCACACCTCTATGCAGGGTGAGAAGAAAATGGTGCAGTCTCGCTAAAGGACTCTCTGCTGCTGCTGCTGCTGCCGTGCTACTGCTGTTACTGCCGTTGCTACCGCTGCTCTGCTTTAGCACATGACATGAATTCCTGTCTTTTTCATCTCACGGTCCTTTCCTTCTCCAAGGTTCATTTAAAGTAAAGAATGGACGTTGCTGTTTTGAGAGAAGAGGAGCACAGTTGGAGTTACTTGCCACTGCCGTGGCAATACAGGGGTGAGCAGGTCTGGGAAGGGCTGGGAGTAGCCGCGTCCTACTGTGCCATTTACAGATCCACGTGAGGCTGCATTAGGGAGCTGCATTAAGCAGAGAAAGGAGCTGTCAATGAACACACAGTATAATCTGGGTTCAGTGAGGTTTTCCTGGGACAAAGAAGGGGGAGCTCAAAAGAGGAAGAGGAGGACAGGGAAAGAGAAAGGGAAAGAGGAAAGCAGGCACCACCCAAAGCCACTCTTCATCACTCGAAGAGGGCAGACAGGTACTCATTATTATCAAAGGCTTTTGTCACTTGCAAATTTACTTCAAAAGCAATGTGATGAAGTAAAGCAGGATTAGTATTCTTTTCTTCTTTTTTTTTTTTTTGTACTCCACCTTGTATGTAAAAGCAGGATTAGCATTTCTGGATGTTCCTATATATACACCCAAAACGGAGGCTCAATGAAAGAGGAAAGAGGATACAAGCTGTTAACTCAAGAAGATGAAGTTTTCTACAGCATTCCAATTACACATATTGCCAAAATTTTATCAAGGTCCAATAGGATGCCAAGGATGGCACTCACTTCTTAATTATTCACTCTTGGCTGGAGACAGAATCATACCACTATATTGCATATAAAGGATTATGGACGTTCCTTCCCAACACACACAGCTGTTGCATTTTAGGAGAAGGGTTTTCACTACTATAATCATTGATAGTCAAACAAAATAGTCTGAGTCTATATATATGCTATTGTTAGGAAAAGAGTAAAATAGCATTAAAAGTGCTCTCCTAGAAAATGATGTTTTGTATTCTAACCCTTATGACATACTACTTCCATAAATGAAGACTGTAAAGTCTCATTTCTTGCACTACATAAAGATAGTAAGAGAGCAACTCTTCTAGGGGGGAAATGCTAATGTAGATGGTACATGTTATAGTTTATACCACATAATTTGCAATTTTTCCTTTTACCTAAACTGAGTTGGACGCAGTAAGATTAATAAAATATCCCACAAGCAAGCAAAATGCATTCTACGGTAGTACAGAGAATCTAGCACTTAATTTGACTCAAAAGTCACTCAAAGGAAACAATAATCACCATGGCATGGATCAGCATTGTATTGTTGATATGGTGGTCAGTCAACTTACAGACAGTAGAGGAAGGGAGAAAAGGAAGCAGTTTTTATCATGTATGGGGAGCATTAGCTTTCTCTGATCTGAACAGCTGAAAATTCATGTTGAAAATTAATTAATTAATTAATCAATTAATTAAAACCAGCTTCATTCGTATCTAAGTCCTTCAAACTACCTCGTCTGAAAAACCTTTTACATATTTACATAGAAATACACATAGCCATTCAGGCTTTCTGGGAAGATAATGTGTGAATGTGGGGAGGACTCTTCTATCTGCTTGGCCAGGGGAGTCACTGCCTGCCACCTGACATAGCATACTTCAAACATTTTCTCCTCTGAAGCACTCTGGAGAATCAACTGTTGTGGTGTCAAAGCAGTCATTAGGAAAGAAGGTGGTTCAGGAAAGCAGCAAGACTGGGGCACAAGGTATTCTGAATGCCATCTGGCATTCTCTTTTCTTCTAAATACTTTTAAAAATATGTTTGCAATGAGCAAGTCTTACTTGATTCCCGGATGTCCATTTAGCTTAATAGCATGAGTCCCAATGAAATCTGGCTGAGCCTCCTGCAATGGTTTCCCTGTTGCAAGGGTGACTCTGGCTTCTTCTGGCACAAGACCTTTTCACTGCCCTTTAAAACCTGCTTATACTCTATCAAAATATCCTCTCCTCTTCTAGACATCTCATTAGGAAAGTGAAAAATCATAAGCACAGATAGAGTAGAAAGTGAGGAGTTCCTGTTGTCAACAAAAACCTTTTATTTCATTAGCTTTTAACGAGCTCAGTATAGACTTATAAAATCAAACAGTTATCAATTTCATTCTGTTGTTTTCTAATGCCAGGAAAATTACACATTTCTACACATTTTTAAACTTCAACTTAATAACTAAAAAAAAAATTGGGACACGGTTAACAGAGTCTTAGTCTCTAAGACTCTTTTACTTGCTACAAACTATGACAGCTCTTTTTATCTTTGTCTCATAAAGATAAGGCAATGAACCAGGCTTTAGTTTGCTAGATGTTAGATTGACTGACATACATATTGCACAAAGCACTCTAATTGCCAAATCTTTAAGAATAATAATTCACTACTTTGCTTACATTTTCTCATAATACCTTTAGGTGTGACACAGAGAAGCAAAGTCACCATGTTTTTATAGATAAGGACACTAGACAACAAATAATTTTTTCCAGGTATCTTTCCTTGGGATGGCTCACAAGGGCAGGAGGGCTAAGTTTCAGGGCTCTTAAATCAACCCACTTTGGAAAAGACATCTACTCCAAAAGCCCTTATTAAGAGCTCTCACTATTCAAATCACAAAACGGGAAATCCCAGACAATTAGTATAAATATTTGTAAATTGATCACAAGTCCATTCTTAGCGTGTGTTTTTTTTTCCCTTTTCCTTAATTAAGGAACAGACTGCTCCCATAGGACACAGTAGCACATAATCCTTTCAGGAAAGCTAGGTAGATTAAGCATTCTTACACAGCGATAACTTTGCCTCTTTATAATAACTTATTCGGTAGTGAGCTGTCAAGAAATTCATATTTCTAAAATCATTCCTTCCTGTAGACTTCTGTTGCTCAAACTTTCCTACGATTTCTACTTGAATGGAAAATAATCAGTATCAGTTCTCTGAGGAAAGAGAGTAGCGCACACTCACCAGCTGACCTCTGCACAGACAAGGCACCAGGTTCCAATCCCAGGAGCTCACAGCCATTGAAATGATGCATGCACCACATTAAAAGGCTCTTCCCATCAAACCTCCAGCAGAGATATAATTCTGGCTGAGTTTTGAGCTTGTAACAAAAGCTGATTCCTTCCACAAAGCATTGCAACCATCAATGGGATAAGCCTGTTTCTGTCTTCAAAGGTAAGGAGCACACTGTCGTTCACATTTAAACTTGAGAGCCAGCATAGACTGCCCTTCAGAGAGGGCATATTTTATTTTAAAGACAGGAGATAAAATGGCCATTTGCTGTCCTCACTGTCCAGCTCTCCATTGATCAAATTCCAAAGAAAATCCTCTGCAGACATCAGGCATCAGTCAGGCAGCGTTCAATAACAACTGAGCTAGCCATATGCAACTTAATCTCCCCCTTCTCTTTCCCTAGCCCTGCCCAGAAGAAGCAGCTATGCAATTGAACAGCATATATTGTCACTCTACCACAAATGTGGTGTGGATGCTGAGCAGAAAGAGAAGCAGATGCACTACAAAGACAGTTAAAACATCACCTAATCAGGGGGGAGAAAAAAGAATGAGCTCACTTGAACTATATTTAAACTATGTGCCAAGAGTTCATTACTATAACCAAGTTCGTGGTATTAATCCATAGTTGAGGATTCCTCTGTTTGGGGGGACTAATGAGTGATCAAGGTAAGGAAAAGCAAATTGAATGAGTGAGTCTAATGGCATATCACTCTCAATTTGTTTTACTTCAAATCAAACCCAAAAGCCAATTTGATAATGCAAAATTACTAAAGCAGAGCTTGCTCATAATATCCTCCTTTCTTGTGATAAGAATGTTTCTACAAGGAGATGATTTGGTTAAAATGAGAATGCCCAAAGGGTATCTTCCTTCTGCTCCTGCCTGAGGAAGCAAGCAAGGACACTCCAGCTCCAAATCAAAACAGACGGTTTTCATAGGCTGAGTAGGAGATGCAGAAGCAGTCTCAAGTCGCCCCAAGTGTGTGCCTCTCAAGCTCATAATGCTTCTGAAGTTTCACAGAAAATTTCTAGCTAGTAGCAATGGCCAACAGACAAGGAATGAAAAGCTACCCTCTGGATGCCCCCTGACATAAAGAAGATAGAGCTGCACAAAGGGTGGGTCATAAATAGTGGCCATTCTGTCACCACAGACCTCCCTTTATGATGACAGAGGACGTCTGGTGATTACAGGCAGCAGCCACACTGCAGTGGGCAGAGGAGGAGAAAGGTACAGAGAAGGGAAAATTGGAAAAGCCACAGTTCAGAAGCAAAAGACATTCATGCACATCTGGTCTCCCCCTGCGTCCTTCCAGCCTCATTCAGTCATTCCCAAATGGATAAAGATGAGGGTGCAACAGCCTAGCTTGTGAGTCTGCCTGTGTAAGCGGGCTGGATTTGCTAATGGTGAAAAACTCTTCTGATGAAAAAATCCCCTCACTGGAGCTTCCTAATCAAATTTATTTTCTGTGCTCTCTTTGACAGAAAGTAAAGAGAGAAATTTATTCCAGAGTCAGAAAAGCCCCACGATTTTACATTCTTTTAATTTACTGTAATAGTATCTTAAACTGAAAGCCTAGGGATTAATCTTAAAATTTGCCTTTAAACATATCCTTTGTTTAAAGACTTTATCATTGTCCCCATCTCATTAGCATAAACAGCTTCTATTTATGGTTGTATCTTCTTATTAAATAAAGTTACTAAAGGCCTGCTATGAGCCAGTCATGAAGCACAAGTCATCTGGTAACAAAAATGACAAAACCCTTGTCCTCATGGACATGAAAGTCCAGCCATAGAAGTGATTCTTTTCAGCCTTCCTGGAACATCTCAGTCACTTTGTATAATCTACAGTGACTGCAATTACTAAGATTCAGATCTTGATAGAAAGCTGCTTCAAAATCTTCAAATGCTTAGTCCAAGTTTCAAACTGGTATCTATCCTCAAATGTCTTCTCAGGGCTGCTTTCTTCTCATAAAAGATGTTTTATTATATTGCTTATGTTTTGTTTTGTTTTTTCAAAAAAATATGCTGATTTTGAATAAGAAATCCTCATAGTCTATTAAAGGATTGAAACACTACAATTAATATCTAACTTCCAACGATTTATTGTTGTGGTTAAAACACAACATATAGCTTCCACTTTTGGTTCGTAACAGCTTTTCATAAAAGCTTTGGATATACTTCTTAGCCCTTTTACTTTGGTCAAATAAAAGCACTGAATTGTGGTTGAAATCTGAAAATTCAATCCCAACCCCGTTAACCTTCAAGGTCAATGCGGACGTTTTTGTATGCTTATTTATGTCGTGTCTTTATCCATGAAGAAATTCATATTTTTCTTTAAGAATTGTATTTTTTCTCAGAAATTATATGTTAACAGCTTTAGCATCTCAAGAGAAACAATTTCATCAGTAAGTCTGATCAATTCTTGAAAGTTTTAAGTTTACATAATGTCAATTAGATGCATCATTTGGATAAATTGTTTGATAGAACATTTTAATTAGACTATTTGTAAAAGAAAGAGATTATTTTTCTTGAACGGGGCTAAACTATTTTTAATTGTTATTCTTTATGTGACTCTAAATGTAAGTCATTTGTATCTTAAATTTTCACAAAATAATTTTGTATTTACATATAAATTAGTAAATGCCTAAAAGCCTATAAATGTGATTTAAAATGACTGGACTGTATAATTCTATGCTTTTTGTAGGCCATGAATTATAGCCTTTTAATTCAGTATTCTTGGCCAGTAAATAACTAGAAAAAGTATTTTCTTATTTTTCAAAAATAACAACAGAAAAATGGCAAAATGTCGTCTTAGAGTATATCCAAATCAACCACAGATCAAACGTTAAGTCAATGATAAATGTGTCAGGTCTCCCATTTTCCAACCCAAAGCCCTTATTGTTAAAAAATAAACACTTTAAGCAATTTCAACAGCCAATTCTATGGGTAGTAAAGTTCTGTGCAGTGGATACTACAATAAATATATAATACTTATAAAACATGTTTCAATAACAACCACTCAAAAACCAATCCCCCTGTGACTACATTGTTGGCACCAGAAAATTGAAGTGCTACCATTTGGTCATTTTTCACCTGGTGAAAATGATTATTGTATTCATGGGTACTTGGTAATTTTTATGAAGTTGTAAACATCTGGATTATTATTGTTTCTGGATGCTGTCATATTTAAGTCTTTTTCCCCACCTCTGAAAGAGCTTCTGTGATCCGTTTTCATTTCTTTACCAACAGACATAAGTATGCTTGCACCTGTTGTTTAGTTAACCTGCAAATAAAATCTGTTGCTAGGCATTCCTTGTTTCTTGCTTTAGGCATGTGATATGATTTGACACAGGGATTAATCTTAAAATTTCCCATCCAAATCTTATTTTGAATTGTAGCTCCCATAATCTCCATGTGTCATGGGAGGGATGGCGTAGGTTTCTCCCATGCTGCTCTTGTGATAGTGAACAAGTCTCACAAGACCCCATGGTTATAAAGGGCAGTTCCCCTGTACACACTCTCTTGACTGCTGCCAGGTAATACGTGCCTTTGCTCTTCCTTCATCTGGCACCATGACTGTGAGGCCTCCCCAGCTATGTGGAACTGTGAGTCCATTAAATCTCCCTTTCCTTTTGTAAATTATCCAGTCTCTGGTATATATTTATTAGCAGCATGAGAACGGACTAATATAGCATGACCAGCATTTTTTCATTTTATACCTACTCATGCAAACTCATATTCCATAAATATGAAAACCAAAGTATAAAATTAAATAAAATCTTCTTAGAAGCCACATTTTGAGAGGGAAAGTATGTTTTAGCTTTTTTGTGTGACGTGGTCTTTATCTCACTTCTAAATCAGATCAACAGCCAAAACACTAAGCACCTATATGAACAGCATGTGTTTCCAGCTAATAGTAGCCAGGTATTCAGACAAACACTACTGCTGAAAGAAACTAGAAATACTGGATAAAATATAAATAACTTCTTAAAACAACAAGTTGCTGGGATGATAATAAGGAAGCGCTGGGCAAAACTGAAGGAAAATGGAACCACTGAAAGATAAGCAAGCAGGGAAATTGATTCTGTTTCCTGAGTATATTTCCCTGCAAACTTGAGCTTTTATTTTGAAAACTTCCTAGGCAAGAGGGCAGATATCAAAGGCCAATGTCTACACAAGGTGTGCAGTCCAATAGGGAGCCCTCTCCACAATCATCTGAGACCTCATAAAGCAATACTCTACGGCAAAGAGCAGAATAATAAATAACCAGTCCTTTGGCAGATTTATGACCTGGGTTTTATTGCCTAGACTTACAACAAAACTCAAGCTTCAGACTTGGTTTAAAATGTTCCCCAAGTCACCTGTGACCACAAAGCCTGGCAGAAGTAAATGTATCTCTTCTCTGAAGGAGTCATTTTTATTCTTAGCCTGATATTATCTGCTTAAATAATTTTCTAAGTATGGTGCCCAGGATACAATCAAAGACAAGCAGGCAAACAGCAGAAACAAGAGAAGAGAGAAACAGATCTATAAAGACTTCAGTAATGGAGCTGTGAACAAGGCACTGTGAAACAAAAGGAATGGGGTATAAGGGAAGCAGTTCTGGTTCCCCAAAATAGTATCACTTAGTTGGGAAGTTAAGCAAACTGAATTCTTAGAGTACAGATTTCTTTCATGGGTGTTTTTTGTTTTTCTCCTCTACCTCTCCATCAAGACATACTACTTTGCAAAAGAACAGATGATTATAAATGTTAACAAATGAGAACCATAAGCATCCAATGAATGGCAGAAACAACATATACTACAGGACTGCAGAAAGTTATACTCTTTTCTTAATACAAAGGTTTGATAATGATGTAATAAATCTTAACAAAGAATTGCTGCTTTAAACATTTGAGAATTCAAAAGCATCACCAAAATCTAATAAATAAGATGTAACTGAAATAATTCAAATAACATTGTTTTCACAAATTATAAGTTTTTTATGAAAACTAAACTTGGTGGTTCAGGTAGAAACTTTAGGCAATATTTAACCCAACTAACTTTGTAAAATAGAAACATCTGTAGAGCTTTTTCTGTTTCAAGTCCTGTGACACATATAGCTTCAATCCCAGGTCTTCACAGAAAAGGAGCAAATTCTCTCTCTCCCCTAATTTCTTGAAAAACAGAGTAGCTCTCTCAATAAACCTTTACTTAAGAAAATGTCTCCATTTTGTCTATAAATGCTGACTGATGCCCCCCATACACTAAAAGCTCGTAGCTTACTAGCCATTCTGTAATATGTGTACATTCTTCTTCCACTGGTAAAGTTATATGCTCATCAAGAGCCAAGTATGTTCATCCCAAACATTTTGATCCCATTGAAATTGCAATTGCAGTTATGTAATTTAAACAAATCTTATCCAATAAAAATATGAGTTCCAAAAATTATTTTATGAAAATTAATATGAATGCTTTATAAGAACTAGATAAAGATGAGTTTCTACAAATATTGCTATTGAATTATGGGTATGACTGAAACAAATAAAAAAGTTTGGGGAGGAAGCTTCGAAAATATTTAGAAGTTCTACACTCAGATTGTTTTCCAAGTGTCTGTAATTACTGACTGCATTTAAGAGATAATAAACCAGAGAATATAGGTGAGACAACACCTACAAGTAGGTATTGTTTATTTTTAAAAAGACAAAGCTAAACCTCAAATTCTGGAAACTTCTTAAATAAAATATACCTAAATAAAAGGTCTTGATTGTACATCAGATCATTGGTAGAATAATTTCAACATGTTTCAATAATTTCAACATGTTTCAAGTTGAAATAAAATGTTTAAACTATTCATATATCAGTTTTTATGATTTTCCACTTTAACCATCTTTTTTACTAACTGATCAAATAATGGTCTTGATACTGTTATGAAATAAAGCTTCTTTGTGTGGTAGAGGGTTACAAGTTTCGGTTTTTGAATCCTAATTTGGGTTCTATGTTGGGTGCATTACTTCGTCTTTATGGGCTTCAATCTCATTTTACATGAATGAAGATAACATCTACCTGACATAACCAAGTGAAATAACACATGTAAAATGTCTGGTAAGTGATCAATAAATGGTAACCACTATTATTATTGTTCTGAAACAAAACAAAACATTAATATAAAAGCATAAGAGAGTAAAAGTAGATTTACAAGACCAAAACAAGATAGAAAGACTGGAAGGAAGATGGAATCACCCCCAAAGATAATATGTGTCCAAAGAGACTGCTGACCACTTTGAATGGTCAGCATCATTAATAAGGTCACACTTTTTATGACTATTTGGTAATGATAATATTCAACACTGGCTGAGCACAGTGACTCATACCTGTAATCACAGCATTTTGGGAGGCCAAGGCAGGTGGATCACCTGAGGTCAGGAGTTCAAGACCAGTGTGACAAACATGGCAAAACCCTGTCTCTACTAAAAAAACAAAAATTAGCCGGGCATGGTAGCATGAGCCTGTAATCCTAGCTACTCTGGAGGCTGAGGCAGGAGAGTCACTTGAACCCAGGAGACTGAGGTCACAGTGAACTGAGATTGTGCTACTGCACTCCAGCCTGGGTGACAGAGCAAAACTCTGTCTCAAAAAAAAATCAAAAGCACCACTTGGAACACTGTGGAATGAGTCTTAAAATCAGTGGCATGTGTGCACGAGAAAGTATTTATGATCCCTGATAGAAGGATAGCTATTTATAATCATTTTACTTAATAGGCTTCATTATCAAAAATTTAGACCGGGCCTTAATCAGAATAAAGGGATGCCTCACAAAAGCTTTGTTTCAAATGGAAAAACACAACAAAGAACAATCACCATTTGACATAAAGTATGCATAATTCTAAATGGAAGTCTCTGTAATAGGTTCTTTTAAAAATAGATTTATTACCAAAGCAGACTAATAAATTGTCAGGAGATGTACCTTTTTCTCACTCCTATAATCGATCCTTAAAATCCAGTTTTA